ATATCTTTGATTATCTGATCTTGTTTTATTCTTTTTAATTTTGCTATTTCCTTTCCCCTTTTAATTGCTATGTTTCGGATTTGAAATTTGGCATATTCCCAATAAGTACCATATGATTTATTTTTTTGAGCTAAATTCCAGTTTTCTTTTAAGGTATTTATGGCCAAGTTTTTAAAAGTTTTGTCATTTAAAAGCATATTATTTAATTTCCAATAGCCTGTATTATGTTTAGAAATAGAGTTTCCTAGATAAATTGTCAATTGTATTAATCGGTGGTCTGTAAATATAGAAGGATTAATTGTGACCTCTTTGACTTTGTCAACCAATACTTCAAATATAATCCAAAAATCAATCCTCGATCTCCTTGATAAATCTTGATAACATCACAACAGTTTAAATGTAAGCACAAGTTATTGAATTCTCCATACATACCATTTAAGGAGCGCACAGGAAAACAGTCTTTGGTAGGATCTGTAATAGAGTTCCAGTCACCTCCTAATATCAGTTTAGCATTCTTAAATGTATATAAAAGAACATTGATTTCCTCCTCAAATTTTTGGAAAAGAATTTTGTTTTTTTAATTGCTATTATACACATATATATTGCCTAAAATAAAGATATTATCTAAATAGTCTATAACCAAAAGCTGCCATCTGCCATTTTCATCATTTATATATTTAAGAATTTTCCCTCGAAAGGAACCCTTTAATATTGCTACTCCTGCTGAATGGTTGTTTCCATATGCCATCCATATATTATCTCCCCATTGAGGTTTCCAAAAATTAAAGTCAGATGCTAAAGCATGTGTTTCTTGCAAAAAAATGAAATCTGTCCTCTTGGTTAGCTCACGAATACCCTTAACATTAAAGGAATATATTGATAGTCATATAGAATGTAGTAAGATATCAATGGTCTTCAAAACACCTTGCAAACAAAACAAAGAAAACATTTGTTTAGAATAAATCTTACCTGTCACTATGGAAAACAAAAAAATAGACTAAATTCAAGGTAATTTACAGAGGCGAACGATCGACATTAATAACCATAAATAATTTCAAATTATGTTCGAAGTTCTTTCCCTTCAATAACGGCCCTGGCTCCTATGAAAAAGGCTTTCTTTCCTTGCTTGCGTGCTTCCTCAATCTGGGGCCACAGCTTGTTGCGGGCTTCCTTGTCCCTTGTTGTTAGATCTTCTCCGAATCGTAGTTTTTCCTCTTTAAGGAATTCTGACGTCTTTGCACTCTTCCACAGCAAATCTTTAGCGGATCTGATCGCAAATCTAATCAACACTGGCCGGCACTTATTCTCCTCTTTTCTTCCAATTCTGTGGCTCACATCAAT